CACACACACACACACACACACACACACACACACACAAACCCATTCAGCACACCCGCCCCCTCCAGCATCCCACACTGCACACATCTCACTGGGGCAAGGGCAGGGATGGGGGCAGTGTTTGTGTGACTGTGTGTGCTGGAGGGTTCTCTGGAGGTCCGCGGGGTCAGCGGGCTGTGGGTCAAGGGGTTGACCTAGGAGGATGGTGGCTGTGTCCGGGTGCCTCGCGTGGGTGTGTGTGGCTGTGGGCGCGCTATCACGTGTCGGTCGGTTGTGGGTGTTCATCAGACGATGCTGGTTGTTAGCGCGCTGCGTGTGTCCCACTGGGTGGCTGTGGGTCAGTGTGCTCCCGCAGGACGTCCTGGCGTGCTGTGTACGGGTGTGACGGGTGTATCTGTGCGTTGTTTGCGGTCCATGTGTCGTTTGGTGCAATGTGCTCGTGCGCAGGGCTGAGATGGCGTGTGTCCGTGTGACACTGGGGTTGTGTGCGTGTTAGCAGACATGCTTGTGAAAGGGCTGTGTCACTGCACAAATCCGCGTGTTAGCGGATGCATCGGTGTCACTGGGGTAGCGTGCTGGGCATGTTGTGCCCCTGGGACAGCGTGTGCCACTGGGCTTTGCTCTGTGTGGAGGGCAAGGCGTGCATGCGCGTTACTGTTCCCGTGTGTGTCTGGACAGTGCCGCGTGGGGTGGCACCCTGTGTGCGACACTGTCATTATGCCTGAAATGTTGTGTGTCTGTGGCCCTACCTGGCCCTGAGAGTGTGCACCTCTGGGTGTCACTGCGATGATTACGTGTGTCCTTGCGGTTGTATTGTCGGGGCGATGTTGTGCGTCCACGGGACTGTATACACGGCCGTGTCTCGGCAGTGTTGTGTGATCGTGTGTCCGTGGGATAAATCGGCTGCGGGATCATGAGGGCTTCGCTGCGATCGTGCGCGCGTGTCACTGACATCGTGTGTTCTAGGGACTCAGTCCCGGGGATGGCATGTGTCTGGGCGACGTGGTCGTGGGTGTGAGGCCAATGCTGTGTGTCGTTGTGATTGTGGGTCTGGGCAGTGCTGTGCGTCCTGGGGCCGGGTCTGCTGCCCGTGTGATGCCGTGCGTCTCGGCGCGTTCCTGGTGCGTGTGTGTGTGTGTGTGTGTGTG